CCACCATCGTCGGACGCCGATAAGTGTGCCTGTGTTCTAGAACCTGACGAATGGTGAATATGTGGTCGATGCAGCCACGACCAGGTCTGAAACCAGCTTGGTTTTCTCGTGTTTGCAGTTCACGAGTCTTAGTTAGGCGTCTGATAATTATCGAGGCTAGTATTTTAGATATTATATTAGTTAAACTAATCCCTCTGTGGTTGTCACAGGATGATTTTGACCCTTTCTTATATATTGGGACGATAAGTGATTGTGACCAGTCAGATGGAATAACGTCTAACTCCCAGATCTTAGCTAAAATATTAGTCAACCTAATCGCTAAAATTGGACCACCATCTTTAAAGACTTCTGGAGCCAGTCCATCTGGTCCAGCTGCCCTTCCTCGTTTCAGATTATCTATAGCCTTTTGAACTTCAGCAAGAGTTGGGGGACCTACTTCAATGTTCCATTTACGCTGTCTGAGAATGGAGGGTAGTTGTAGAGTCGCTGAAGGCCAGCTGAACTGTTCCCTAAAGTGTTCCGCCCATCGTTCTAAACGTCTGGACTGGGAATAGATGAGAGTATCGTCTTTTTCCGATATAATCTCACTTACACTTGACTTATTGATTCCAGTTTCTTTTATTAGTCTGTAAAGTTGTCTTGTGTTCCCTATAGTCGCCGCCTTTTCCATCTCTTTTGCTTTCGTTGCCCACCACTGCTCACGGTCGTTTCTTAAACTTTTTCTTAACCTAGATCTGATTTGTTGTCGCTCTTCATCATGTTCGGAACCAGATGGGACAAATTTGCGAGAATCCATCAGTGTGATAGACTTTGAAGAAATCCACTGGTTCTTTGAAACTCTGTGGTTTAAGTTGCTAATAGATGTCACTGCTGCTTCCACAGCTGCTTGTATGTCTTTCCAAGCAACATCTGGGTCAGCCTCGTTTTCAGAACTACCTAAGTGTGACCTCAGTTGTTCATGGAACTTACTTTTGGCTTTCTCGTTACTCAACTCAGTTCTAATGGGTCTTTTTAATGTGGCTTTTTTGCGTCCAGTGAGGCGCAAGCAGATGCGTGCCCGTATTAGGGCATGGTCGGAGTCCAAGCAGGTACTCCAGAAAGAGCGACAATCTTGTACCGACCCTCTCCAACGATGACTGATGGCAATATGGTCTACTTGATTCCATCGTTGGTTTGGTGTAGGGAGTTGCCATGTTAGATGATGTCTCTCCTTATGCTTAAAATTTGTGTTTGCTAAAAATAAACGATTGTCTGAGCATAGTTGCAGCAGACGATCACCATTATCTGTTCGTTGTGCCGGTATACTAAAATACCCACCTAAATGCCTTTCTGTTTGGTTTCAACTACATATCTGGGCATTAAAGGCACCTGCTACGAGTACTATTTCTGAACGTTTAGCTTTCTGAAGAAGTTCAGATAGCCTTCTGTAAAATTCATCCTTCACTTCATCTGAGCTGCAGTCGGTGGGAGCGTAGGCAGAAACGAAAAAAAGGCAACGACGTGTGTCCCTATCCTTCCGAGTTCTTACGGAGCCGTTTAGCCGGACAGCACATAAACGACTGTTGACGGGGATCCACTCTAACAGTGCTTGTTCGGTCCTCATGCTTAATGCTATGCCTACACCTGCCAGTCCACGAGAACTGGCCATCGGGTCACCAGATACACGGAGGGTGTATCTCGTTGGCTCTCCGTTTTGCCGAGGTGAGGTCAAGTGAATGACCACACTGGGATCCTGTATGTGTGTTTTGGAGAAACAGCATACATCAATGGAAAGAGACTCTAGGATTTTAGCCAAGGAAGCCTGCTGACCGATTTGACATAGGGTGCGTACGTTGAAGGCTCCAATGTGTAGTTTGGAGCGAGGTTTCAGTAGACCTGGGACAGAGTTTTGAGCACTAGAATCGTTGGCTATGGTGACCCTTGAGGAAGAAGCCGAAGGAGGAAGTTTAGGGTTGAAAGTCGATGTAGGAGGAATAATAGGAATTGAAGAGGAAGGTTGATTATGAATACAGTGGTCTTGGGTGCTGTTAGGGGTATGAGGGCGGTTATCACTTCCCGGTTGCCCACACCGTGGAAGGGTTCTTCTGGAGGTACCTGAAAAAGAAATTGGATTAGAGGCGGTCTCGGCGACCTGGGAGCGTGACCGCAGTGCCCAAGGGACAACTGCTTGAGGCCGGTCGCGCACGGCCTTTCCGTGGAAGGTTTTTGACATGTTAGCTCCGTTCTTCAAAGGGCCTTACCGCCGGAGACGGAAATCCGTGAGGTAAGGTGAGGTGTGCATTTTTAGGGTCGACCTTTTCTAACCCCACCCCTCCTTGTGGGAAGGCAGCATCGCTGTCATGCTGGTTGTCTGAAGGAAACACCTTACTGCTGTCACACCTCTGTACAGTCAGCAGTACGACTTCGCCTTCGGACCTTAGGTTTGTTGCTTTTAGTCTTACCGCTCTTCAACCGACCTGTCTGACATGGTAAGACCTTGAGGAACGGTTGTTCCAGCCAGTATAGCTCGGTTGCTTCATCACGATAGGCAAGCCCGACCACCACGTCAAGGTAGCAACAACGGTCGGGTCTTAGTATTACTGTCTATGTTCAAATATGAGCGTCCTAGGTCTTCTTCACAATCCTTAACAATTTTCTCCTCATACTCCCTGTTAAACTTACGAAGGGCTAAAGCAAAAATATTTTGGTTTACCGATGTTAAAACATTGTCTCAATAGCGCACAGTAATATCTAGCTGATGTATCGTTCTTAACAATGATCCTGAGGTCCGAAACTTGGACCGCAGGGTTACTTTTACTTAGAGGTGGCAGGAAACCAAGTATCTCTTAAGCTTCTTTCTCATGGTGGGTAAATATGACATCTAATATTGATGACTTAGAGTTCCGGTAGTATCACGTGACCTTTTGCTGCTATTTTACGATAGCGAATGCACTAATCATATCGAATAGATTGTATTTGGAAAATGTTTTCTATAACTCTGTTCTTAGATTTTTATGTTTTACTACAGAAACGTCCCATCTCCACAAAACTTCACACGGACAGCTAGAAAACCAGCATTCGGGTTTGTCCAGCAAGACATCATTTACATCTCAGTTTAGATTAGAGTAAACTTGACGAACCAGCGGCCCTTGTCCCTTGCACTTCTAACCCGTTTTCATGGAATACATTGACGATAACAGTAAAGTATGTAATTTGCTTTTAAATAAATCCACCGCCACCTGTTTAAGCTTCTGGATTATGTCAGGACTTGCCAATCTGCAGTTTTCAAAATGATGTCCTCTATCGTATTTCGACTGGATCAATCACATTTTTGTGATGGAGGTTGCATTCAACATGGTTGGGTTGGTTTTTAAATTCAGTTCCAGTCACTTGTTAAGCACGTTCTCTGCATTTGTATGACGGGTACAAAGATTATTAAGATGATTTGTGCTGCAATTCAAACGGCTCAGGGATTATTCACATCCGGAACGGACTAGTGATATTTGTACATATAGGTGGTTCAAACAGACAAGGGATCAATGCACAAAGACGATGAGGAAAGACAAGCTTCAGTATCAGATAACGCAAATCGACAAATTTGTTCCCATTCTGAAAGGCTTATTTGTCATACAGCCTATCTTCAACAAACCAAAACCGGGGTTTCCCAATTGCAAGGTCCCAATGACTCAACCAATGACGATGGTGACATCTCTGACCATCTAACAGAACAGTACTTTCAAACATTTCAACCGTCTTGTACCCTCTCTATCGACGAGAACTTCACCTGCAACCCAACAGAACTCTCAGAATTGGATCTGAGTCCTGACTTGGTGTATCGGAATATGCATCACGTAAACAAGGACACTTTTCCTGGCCCAAGCATGGTTCGTTATACTATACTATGAAAAGCGTCTTCGATCTCGGCGAAACCGCTTAGTGTGACGTCATGCCGAGACATAATACTGGAAAAATGGAAGACAGCCTAGCCGACACAGAGAACATTCAAGCTACTGTTATATAGAACTGTTGGAAAATATCTAAAGATGAGCCACGAAATTGGTTCGGGAATCAAATTCAAGCTTTATGTAGAGGATCTCAAATCATTCATTAGAGTATAGGCGTCCTTAAGGTGACCTTCTAGTGACTTAGATAAGATTGAACACTTATAAATATCCCATTAAATACCCACTTCATCTCAGGCCCAATCAAACTTAGGGGTAACAACCGGAAACCGGAATAGAATGTAGGCGCACTTTCTACTTTTTAAGAGTAGTCAAATGCCGGAATTTGCTACCGGTTAAAACTGTTCGAATGACTTCCAGGGAGTCCTTCAAAGGAAAACCTGACATATTCTTAAGGACTAAGGACAGTATCTTGCCATAATCTATCAATGTTTTTCCCCCTTTATGACTAAATATACCTACATTCTTACCTGGTGGCATCGGTGATTCACTATCAGCAGATATAGAAGCCCACTAAGCGAGAGCTTCTTCTATTCCGTTCAAAGTCAGTTGAACCATTTTGAACCTTGTTTGTAAGTTTTAAAGAAAGTGTATCTTATCACATTGTAGTGTGGCGTCGAGTCGCGGTTGACTATGATCACCACTAAAAGGAGGTTGTGTACCAGATATCGGAAGGCGATTGGAGGTTGTAGCGAGGTATATTTGTTGGCGATCTTGTGGCATCGAAAAAACACCGAGATTGTGCTAAAATGGTACAAGCGGAATCACTGAGCAAAAATAAGCGAGTGCAAGGTGACAATCAGCGAAAAAAGAATGTCTTTAGTACAGTCAAACAAACAGGTACGGTAAAACAATCACCGGTACAATTGGTTATAATAATAATTGCTTCCATTAAACCAATCGCGTTCTCTTGATAAAAGTAGGTCACTACAATATCTTGAGACATCAGTTTGTTGAGTGCAGATTTACTGAAAACAACCCCTGATTCTCTTTTGTTTCGACAAAGACAGGTTCATGGTTTGATAATTTAAGCTGAGAATTAATAAACCAAGATTTTGAATGCTTACATTGTACTGTGGGACATACGCGCTTCTAACAAATTTAACATTATCAAGGTCATCCCTCACCTGGTACGTCCTACAGGATGGAGTGTTATTATCCACTTTTCTAGGGCAATTTATCCTGATTTTGACTGAGACGTTGTCTGTTTGAATAAAATGATCCACAAAATTGAGGTTTCAACAATATTTTAAGGTACAGAGTTTTTGTGTCGTTTCGACACAGGATTGAACTGTACTGTTCGGGTTGCGGTGTTGAAACCTGGGTAGTTTCTGGTTCTGCTGAAAACCATTGGTCAATTATTCTGGCCTAAAAGGATATATTTTCATCATAGTGAATTTGCGAGGCCGCTCTTAGAATATGGAGTTCAATCTGCTAGTCCTTGTTTCAAATATGCATATTTCATGCCTCAGGAAGCAGATACACCAGGATGAGTTCAGTGGCGAGTGACCAAAACGGTGAAAGGACTTTTTGGCCTATTATGTATTAAGACAAACTGAAACGCCCCAACCCACTTACATTGTTTTACCCCGGTTTACGGGGGTGATTCTAATCAACCCGTGTCAATTATTACTGGCTTACCGTTTACTGGACGTATATCTTGCAATTAACATGTCTTGTCTTTTCCTTCCATTTAGGAATGATTATATGAGAAGAGATTCCAGGAAATTTCAAAGACGGATCAAATATCTACGCCAGGAGCTCCGTTTCTCGCGTCGAGCAGTGAGTTGTTACAATCTTCTCACAGGACACGTAGTACCAACACCTTTTGATACATTCAAAGCACGACTGGATCTCCACAGCACTACAAGCTACAAGAATTAATATAGGTCGGCTGACCTATTCGTACTACTGAAGACTAGTTATCACGTAAACCACTTCCACAAAACTCAGACTGCTAGTCCTTGGTAAGACCTGTTCATCGGTATAACTTCTGGTTGTTACAAGGTCGGTACTCCGCAGTTTCTTACGTGTATACACACATTGCTGACATGCAAATGTAGTAGTAATATCAACTTTTTTAGCCTGGAAATTGTCATTTAAGCTGTCGAAAACGGAATTACTACATTACATAAATTAATGTGTTGATATTCAGTGGTAATACATCTAAATTTTGAAGGATTATTCCAGTTATCTACAACAAGATATCAGGAACAGACTTTCAAGAGCAAGCAATCAAATATTAGTTTCCGGAATTTCGTAAGACTGTCCTGTCAGAAATTTAAACGTCAAGAGAACCTCCTTTGAAATGCATCATTCAAAAGCCCCTTCTTGTTTTGCTCGGCTCAACCTATACAGTTCAAAACATTTCCCCTCACTTAGGAACTTTCGGGGAAAATTCATGCTATTCAGGGATGCGTAAAAAGGAGACAATGGGATTCATTGTCATCTATATTCACACTGACTTTAAGGATTTTCTATAGGATTTCCCCAAAGTTCACCTTTGTTCTCCTTTTTTGTTTTCTTGAAGTGTTTAAAATTTTGGTCTTCATGATTTAAAACTATAAGACAGTGGGTACATGAGGTTTGTTACTCTAGGTGGGATTATTCATAATCGATGATCAATACAAATGACTGCTGTATCATTTGAAGCTATATATATAGTCAATGTCCTTAGTTTTCTCCTATTTGGAAGGTGTTAGATTTTACATACCATGTTAAAAGATCCCACACAATTTCCTAATCTGTAAAAGCATCCATAGATTTTAACAACTTAGTTACTGCTTTCTAGCTTGTCCACTCTTTGAGAATAAGTAGTGCAAGATTCGTATGTGAAACGTTTGTCCTATCAACTCATTGACGAAATCTCATCAAACAGTTTTCTTGGTAATACACCTCATCTCTTTATCAAATAGCCGTGTGTTTGGACTTTTTTATTTTCTTCGTGCTTACATTATCAAATAAATTTATCTCAAGATACCAAATAGAGTTTATTTATTTGTACTAAAACACAAAGTTACGTTCATAAGTAACAATGATTTTAGACAAACTTGATCACCATCCAAAAGCTTGTAGGTCTTTTAGTTTGAGCACACTGCATTGGGGATGTTTGAATAATTTTGTCATGTGAATTTACAAACTATAGTTTTTACGCCATCCTCTCCAGTTTTGCCTCACGTGACCTAGTGTAGCGCCATTGACGTGCAATTTTAAATACCTGATTTAAGAATCCGTGCATCGTAGTTAGAAATTAGTAATTATTACGTTTGTTTAGCACGTTGATCGCTGTTATCGTAGTTGGTTTCAAAAAAATACTAGTGCGTATTCCCATGTACTAATATCTCCAAAATGATTTTGCAGGAGAGATTACTGTCTACAAGAAATCATCTTATTTAAGTGAAAAACCTTGGAAATATTGTGATTTCAAAAGATCATAGATGTTCTGTCCATGCATTTAACATACAATTTCATTACGTGTCGTTTTTCAGGTTACTTCATGTTTATAGTCAACTGACGAGATAATACTTAAAACGTTTCCCACGAGTAAATTGTCTGTAAAATTATTTATACCAAAGCATATGATTATTATGTTCTTCTACCTAGTCTATTCTCACTCATTTAAAGTTATGTCGCTAATGTATCATAATGGAAGTGACTACAACTAATAATTCATTCATGACCAGTAAACACTTTACTTATGATGAAACTTGGGTCGTTATAGCTATAATTTCCCTAAAACAATATTTGCAATTTTATTTCCCGTAATATTTTGCGAATTCCAAATGCTATGGTTTGTTTTTATGAATTTTTTATCTGTTCGTTACTTTGTAACTTACATGTTAATCTCATGTATGTCTTTGCTCATGAGATTCATTTTCTATTTAATGGTAGCCAAACATCACCTCAAAATAACGTACTTTAAAGAATGCCAGGCGGTTATATTCCCGGTCTTCCACCTATCTACCCAAATAGTTGGATCTCTTCAGGAATATCTAACATGTCTCGCCTAGAACCTGCTGACTCAAATTGCACCTATGGAATTCACTGGATATGGGTTTCAATGGGACTGTGTGTTATGGATATTCAAGGTGGCATAGCCTTATTTTGTGGAATTCTATGTTTATTTCTTTGGATTGCAGTAGGTATACCTCAAATTGTTGAGAATTTTCGGACAGGAATTGCAGACAAAGCTCTTTCTCCTAGTTTTCTTTGCTTTTGGACTTTCGGTGATGTTTGTAACCTGATAGGTTGTTTTTTAACACATCAACTGATTATGCAGGTCTGTTCAGCTAGTTTTATGATATTTAAAATCCAATGTAGTCTACGTTTACTATGCAAATGTAAACTGTATAAATCTTTATTTCATGAATGTACTCTTTGGTCTAGAATCTACTGATTTTATAAATTTAAGTATTGGTTTACAGTTTGTTAAGTATTTTAATTCTTAACGACTACTTTTGTTACATGCATACGAGGGTTTTCATTTTGTTAATAAATAGTAGATCAACGTTCAGTGAACCTTGCTTCATATCCCAGAGTCATACTCCTAAACTCTTCTCTGCATTGTACATGAACTTTCATGTGTTTACGACATTACGTCAATATTTACCACAACCTGATGGCTGATAAGTTTTTATATTCATTTAACAGTCTGCGTAATATCGATAAGTTTTAGCACAAAATAAGGCAATTGACTAGTGCTACCTAGTTTTTAAAACTTTGGTGTTTAATCGCTTATCATCTATCTTTTGAATTATTGTTGTACCTTCAAATAATACCATTGGGGAAGTCTGGTAGTATCTTTGGCCCTCGGGTTACAATGTAGCTTACACGTCAGTTCATGGGCCTGGGGTTCTTTTTAATCACCAATGATATATCATAATTATGCGACTGTAAACCTAAAGAAAGGTAATCACCAATTTTATACTGAACATTATGGCAAAAAGTTGTTATTTCACTGTTTACTTGATTTCTGCATTAGTTTTAGCTTTGTCTTATGGTAGGAATTCCGTTTCCTTTGGCCATTTTGCTTAGAATTCAGTGTAAAAGGTACCTGAATGGTTATTGGGTAGAAGTATCCATTCCAGGAGTAAACTGGATTGTTTTGATTAGCTTAATAAATGAGATTTTATGAATCTCTTTCTTGTGTGGTTCTGGTGTATTTCGCTAATGAGATAAGTATTTTGCATCGCTTTCTGGTGTTTTTGTTATGTTCTAAAGATTTCGGTGAGTAGAGTATATCCGATATCAATCTTTTGAACTATAGCGTTCAAGCTATGGAGAAAAATAATTCGTCAATGTCACATCTTATACTCTACAGATTTCTTAGTTCTTACGCGAAAAAAAAGAGTGATTTATTGTCTAACAAATTGCGATTGTGTTTTTAATATTGTTTTAGAATTGTGCAAAATATATCAGTAGGTAGTTATGTAACTGTTTATAGGGTGATCTGTAGTCCCGCTGTATCTGACTTGAACTTCATTAACTAATAAAAGATATTAGTGCTTAATGAATAACCAATATACTGTTCTCCTATCAGGCTCTGAAAAGTTTGTTTTATTTTCGACTTATATTCCTTTTTGCTTTAATTTTAATGTACAATTTTAGGATTGCAAATTGCTTATACTTTACAGATTGTTGTGACAGGGTACTGTATTGTTAGCGACTTCGTCCTTGTGTTTCAGTTTATCTATTACAAACATCGTCATAAGGCTATCTTACGTCGTAAGTTTAGTGTGACTGGGTTATTGGAAGTTTTCTTTTTTCTGTGCATGATTCACATAAACTTTTGATTTGTCAACTTGCATGATGAAATGTACACAAACATTTGTTTTCTTTATTCACATTATATTTGGGTTTATTATTTGACTGTTTAGAAAGATTCTTACAGCGATAAATACCATACTCATCCTTTATTGTACCTTAACAGTTCGTCAACACCTATTCACTTGTAGATAAGGGAGAATACAATATCACTTTGGGCGGTGTAGTATGTAAAGATGGAGTCTGGCGAGAGGGGGTTTAACAGCAATCCAGTGTAGGCATGAAGATGGAAAATGGTATATTTGTTTGACTCTATACCTCCAGCTGGTATAGTCCGTTAAAAAATAATAAATTCAACAAAATATGCTATTTATTCTCTGAATTTATCTGTAGCGACTAAGCTAGTAAAAACACTCATTAAGTAGTCACTGTTTCGAATCTCATTGTGATCTTAATTTATTTGAATATCAATCTTAACTTCCTAAGTAGTATCAAGATGGTAACTGTTAAACCATAGTAACATATTTTCATGCTTAATTGATCAATATATTTTGTTTGAACGTGTATAAGGTTGACAAGAATGATTTTATGGTTAAATATATGTTAAACTTGCTTCCTGTTTATCGTAAAGATATATTTTTCATTAAGAAGAAATTCGCCTAATTATGTTTTACCTGATGTGTCATGTAGAAATAAGATTTGCTATTCTTTTTATCATACTCTAATGAAACTATGCTTTTCAACTAATAATAATTATATTTGGGAAAAGTATCAGTCATTACCACTGAGGAATGGCAGGATTATTTTGTACGAAATCATATATTTGTATGTTTACAGGTTTACAAAAGCTTACTGTTTTACAAAAATTCAGCCTAGGTCTGTGATTATTTCAATATGCCAAAAATTGATTTTTAAGTCTTTAATTCGTTGAGAAAATAGTTTAATTAGATAATTTAGTATTGGTTACAACTCAATATAAACGTATTTATTTTAGTCCTAATGAGTGATTGTCTCAGCTTGAGATAAGATTGTTGAATTTGGTGTCAGCTCAGATCGTTGTGATTTCATGAGTTCCGTTTTATTTATATAACATGCTTCAGCGACTGACCTCAGTATGCACTACACTTAACTGTTGATTACCACCAACCGTCTAAAATTAGTTACTGCTAACAGTTTTAAGTGTTCTTATTAAATATTCGAAAGGCTTTTATCTAGAAAATCTTGTCCGATTGAGATAATTTTATGCAATTGTGCAAAAATTTTAGTACGCAACCAAAACTGGTGTTCATCAAAGTAAAATTCAAAGTTTAAACAATAGGTATATGAGTCATGTAACTTTTTAGTCTGTCTGAATTTTCGATAAAGGCATGATTTTTATGAGTACTCACCAAGGTTAGACAATAACTGAAGGTGAGATTAGTTTATGGGCGACGCTAAAGTGACCTTAAGAATACCTACCTACTAATTAGAACTACATGTGGGTTATAAAACGGTGTGGGAAATTAGAATTATGATTTCAATTGATGGTTAAGGTTATGAACTAGATTTAGGATTTTCGTCACGAACTGACATAAGCTAAAATGCCAAAAGGCTATTTAGTCAAATGGATGAATAAATTTCGTGCCAAAATTCAACACCTGTTGTCTTATCTCTGATTGGTTCATCCATAAATTATAATCTCTTCACTCTTATTATACATGAATATACGTAAAGTTTCTCAAAGCTGCATCGAGAGCATAAACAGTTATAAAACACTGTAGTCAAACTAATGGTTAGTTTTACTGAGAATAGTATATTTAGGCATCTAAATTAACTTTTGTAAATAAATACTCTTTTTCTTATTTCCATGAACAGTCGTTTAAAATATCAAACTAAATTAATATTAGTTGTTGAATAAATCTAATTTTCTTGCATAGAAATGCGCGTTGAACAATCCACACTTTTGATACTAATTAACAAAGCAAACAAAAAAAAACAAAGGTGACAGTTCTCACACTTTGATCGTTTCCAAACCCATGAATTGTCTCTATGGTTATTCTCTTATCCATTCGCATTGCAATTTTTTCTCCATTGCCATATCAACTTCAGGATGTTGCACAACATTTTATTTAGTATTCAACAGTTACTGCATATATACACCAATCCTCCATAAAATTACTTTTTTGTTTTAGGAATGGCTGCAGCTTTAAAAGATGGTGAAGTATCTTCGAACTCAAGCTCTTCTTCTCCCATTATTTGTGACGAATCTGAACAACATAATTCACATCAAGGATATCAAAGACTTTCAGTTGGTTTAGTTGGTGCAGGATGTTTAACTTTGATGGGCGTTTCTTTAACTTCTATCGAGAATCCGTTTGATACTTATGTTATTAAACAATCAGTATCCAGTGGTTTACACTCCCATTCAAGACAGTTATTGGAGTGGAAACAATATGAATCAACAGATCATCCATTCATAAATTCAGATCCTTTAAATGTAAGTTTTTAACTTGAACATTATGGTTTTCCGGTCATATGTAATAACATTATCCAATCTTTTAGATAGCTTTTTCAAAAAACTTTCAAAACAGGCGATTAACTTGTTGGGGGAAATGGATTATCATCTTTAAAATGTTGAACAGCACATATACTTTGTTCTTAATGATCATTTAACTTTCTCATGTTCCTAGTTTGCGTTTTTCATATTCTAAGGAAGGTATTTGTTGGTGATCATTTAGCTACGAAGTTCAACAAATAAATTACTTGTGCTTGACAAAAGATCTCACATGACCTAGTTTTTTTTCTTACTTGTTCACCTCACCGATAATGTAAGCGGGATCGTACGAGGTGGGTAGAAGCAGCTAAAGTGGCTTCGTATCGATCCAAAATCACTTAGACTAGTGGGTACATTGCAACCTGATCGATAAAATTCGATCATCACGTTGGGCTGGGTAAACATGAATTTGCTTACTTTCCTGTGGCTAATCAATGCAAAATAATGCCAATGTTTATTTGTGTGTAATGCATTCATAAGAAATGTGAGATAAAATAATGTTTCAGCACCGGTTTAGATTTGCACGTAAATGTACGATAAAAGCAGTTACTTTTGCTCCTATAGTCTGGTGACTATAACTTTTCGACAAGAATACAGAAATGCTAGTCAGGGTTTCTCAACTATAGTGATAGTTTTCATCACAAATAGTGAAATCAACTGGGAACTACTTAAAACCATAGAACATCGGACAGTTGTTTGGTCCCAGTTTAAAACTCCTCAATAGCATGTGTGTATAAAATCATTCAGAAGAAATCCCAAGGAACTTCAGTTCTTCGGACCATTATACAGCTTTTAGACTACCTTGATCAAATGTGACTACAACAAGATATCCAAATGTCTGTCGAAGGAGAAAAACCTCATAAAAGTGTGTTTTATTTTCTGCGACATATGTTCAAAAAATAAATAGCATATGCGTTTAAATTGTTCACATTTATTTTGAGAACACAGTTTCCGTAAACATAAGAAGCTAAAAAGGTGACAGTTGTTAAAGTCCAGCTACAGATCTGTTCGGTAAACTAAGGTATAGTAATAGAATACAGTGATTGAGGCTAAGATTAGTTTGCCGCTCAGTCATACTTCAATAATTCAATAAGGATCTACTATTCCCTATAATCCCATCCTCGTTACGATTTAGAGTGTTTCCTTTTGAAAATTTCTTCATCAAAACGAACCCTCCTCTACATTGCTACTTAATTTATTTCGGTGGTTATCCGTTTCATATTAATCCGGTACCATCAAAATAAAATTTTAGAAAGGAAATAAAACCTTTGCTCATATAAGTGTTTGTTGTTAAATTTTGTACCTGTTACAAGCGTTATTATTTTGCAATATTGATGTCGTTCTTAAGTTTATTGTCGCAAAACTTTATTGATGATTTAGAATTTTGTACTTGAGAATCATACAAAAAATTATTATTTTTTTAGTACATTTACATAATGAATAATAATCTTAAAAGTTATATCATTCATCAAACCTGATTTCGGTTTTGAATTTTTTGTTTTATTCAAAATAGGGTGGTACAGTTATATTAGGATATATTCTTGGGTGGATTTCAACATCCATGTACCTGTTCTCTCGATTGCCACAATTATTTCGCAATGTACGTTTAATTCGAGCTTTTTTAACAAATCTATGTAAAATTATATTACGTGAATACAACCATTAGCTAATAATTAATGTACGTAGGCTGAAGGACCCAACTGTTATTCTGTAGGAATGACAATAAAAAAGTTGTATCTGGATAGTTTAAGCATTCGAATTTCAATCTCCAGGTCAAATTCGACATATTTTGCTTTAAGCACTCAGGTAACACTTTTAGTTCTCATTTAAGAAACTATTCCAGAGCCCAGTGCTCAAACACAGTGAACTATGTAACAGAATAAGTGAATTTGACTAGTATAAAATTTGAATCAGTGACTTATAAACAAATTGTTTGGTGTCACGTTAATCAAGCCATATAACCTAAAAACTAATGAAGTACAATTCAGTTTGATTTTCTTATAATCCATCTTTTAAAGGGGACATTGAATATGCTCCAATGCCATTGAATTAATTTCGATTATAATCCAATTACTCTCTCTCTCATCTTTAACCACCATAATTGAAAGTAATGAGAAATGTACAAATATGTAAAGTTGTATTGTAAAATGATCCGAAGTACTAGAAACGTTGCACTCAGTGAAGATTAAAAATTTTGTGGGTAAACTCCGCTGTTGTATACAAACCTGTGCTTCCTAACTGTCGTACATTGTGCAAAATGGAATTCGATTTCTTCATTCCTCCTCTTGCTTATCTATACCTTCTGGTTTTCTGTCCCCTTCTTCCTAACCTCTTACTTAGTCTGAAGAGAATTTTTTATATTACCTTTTCTCCTTTTCGAAGTATACCAACTTGGACAAGTGCACTTCTATTGATAAAGTTTTTACTTTATATTCCCTCCTTTCTCAGTAATCTCTCTTATAAATGTAAACAAATATAAACACTGAAACATTCTTCTGGATAATTTTAATTTTAGTATATTTCCTCTGTCTTATAACATCTTTCAGTATTAGTGAATATAAAGAACAATAGATTGACTGCATCTGCTACATTGTGTGTTTTATATATGATTGAGTATTCAGTCTCAAACTGATCGTTCGAAGTCATTTAATCAAACGTTTTAAATAGATTTATGTTAATCAGTTAATAACAATAATAATAAACAGATTGTAGAACATTTTGTTAATACATTTTTCTGCAAACTAATTTTTCTGTCCAAGTGGAAACGTAAATCAACTGAAGGACTGTCTATATTCATGTTTTCTATGGCTGTTACTGGGAATATTTCATATGGTATTCAAATTTTACTTACATCTACTGAAAAAAACTACTTAATCCGAGCTACACCGTGGCTTGTTGGGAGTTTCGGTGTAGTTTTGCTAGATATTTTTGTAAGTTCATATGTTTTAATTATTAACTATTATGCTTAATTCTTTAATACTTCATAACTATATTCTACGGCTTCAGACTTGATTGTGTTTGTTTTTATCCCGTGAAATTAAACTACGAAAATTCTCTCAATTATAGTAAGAAACCATGACCTGTAGAGCTCGACCATGTTAGAAGTAACGCAGTTACCAAAATTGATACTGAATGATTGTTTACATTAGCAAAATAATGTCTACTTTAAATGATTCTACTTGATTTATCATCGATAATACTCAGAAAGATTTAACAGAGACGACTGAGAAGCGCCTTTTAAAAGATTGAGAGAACTCCTGAAGAAAAATCTAATTGATAACCATACGTATAATGAACTCAAACCAAAAGGATCACAATTACCATACTTATACGACCTATCTAAAACTCACAAACCCGACATCCCGATAAGACCATTATTATCCATGACTAATATACCCTTCCATAAACTCGCCCGCTGGTTGCCAAGGTGCTTAGAACCAATCCGAGAGAAACTAGCACCCTACAGTCTAAAAGACAGTTTTGAATTTGCACAAAAGCTTGACAACCTAAATGCTTCTGATAAATTTATGGTCTCATTTGACGTCTCATCGCTCTTCACAAACATGCCCTTGGAAGAAACGGTAGATATCATATATGAATATCCTGAACTTCTATCTCTACCAATCCATGAATTTAAACAGCTCCTGTTTTCGTGTACTAAAAACATAAAATTTCAATTCAATAATGTCTTTTACCTTCGAATTGATGGAGTAGCCATGGGTAGTTCTTTGGGCCCAATTCTAGTCGACATATTTATGGGAAACCTGGAACAAAAAAAGTTTAAGCACGTAATCGATAGTACTACACTCCACTGTAGATATATTGATGACACATTTCTCCTCTGCAACAATCACAAGCACGCCATTAGACTACTCGATTTGTTTAATAAAGCTCACAAGGATATAGAATTTACTATGGAACAGGAAGTTGAAGGCAAATCCCATTTCCTAGATATTGGGATCAGACGAACATCTGATGGCACATTACATAGACACATTCATCGCAAAAATACTTGCAGTGGAGTATATCTCAATTGTTATAGTTTCTGTCCAATGAGTTACAAAAAGGGTATTGTACGAACCCTTTTTGACCGCGCACGTAAAATTTGTTCAAACGAATGCCTGGATGACGAGATTGCTCTCATCACTAATTGTCTACGTGAAAATGCATATCCGATGAAATTCATCTATAAATATGCAAAAACCAATCCTCAGGCAAAGTATGATAGTGTAGGAAAGAAGACTTGCTTCTTATATTTACGTTTCAAAGGAGACGAAATTGCTGGATTGATTAATCACAGATTAAATTCCGCGTTGAAAGTGGCCTACCCAGCAGCAAAACTGACGACACTATGGGAAACGAATTGCTCACTCAAACAAAGTAAAATCGACAAGTCTTCTTTTCTCAGTAGCTTCAACTGCATTTACCAATCCACATGTGCGTGCCAAAGCACATACATTCGAAGAACTGAAAGAAGAGTGCATGTTTGCATTTCTGAACATGTTCCAAAGAACTTGAGGCAGTGAGGGACTAAGGCTCTCAACAGTGCAATAGCTCGGCATTTACTTGACACCAGGCATACCATCGACATTCCGCACGCTTTTAAAACTATAAACGGACAAAGAAGTACAACTGCTCTCCGTTTCGCTGAAACAATCGTGATAAAAACTTAAACCGGATTTATGTGTTCAATAAGAGACATTAATAATACCCTGGTAATCCAATTTTTTTGTTATTTGGGTTATTTTATTCATTTATTTATTTTAAAATATTTATTTTGTGTTATATTCCTCCCCCCATTACCTAATTCTTAAACGAACCTTTCATTCATACATTTCCGCCAACTGATCCTCTTAAATTATGTTAACTTTTCAAATTCTATTTAATTATTACGTAACCTATCTTATCACTGTTTTAATTCCATGAATCCTTCATTACCTCTAAAATTATCACGCAATTCATGAACTCCACTAAACTATTACACCACCCATCCTGAATTATTTCCTTATTTCTAACACCAATTAACCTCTGACCTGTTTTTGCATTTATATATAGTTATGAATGTAAACCTTTGTCATTCCAATTGTTTACATTCATTTATGTCAATTGTTTCACTATTTCTTATCTCAATGTAAAATTCTATTATATATTTGGTTGTAAGCAGCTGACGAGAAACCTCGAAATATTATGAATTCATACTATTCTGCATCAATATTTGTTCTTGCTTTATTTAAAAAAGAAATTCGTTAACTCAACATATCGAGATACTAGATACCGGGATGCTTAAACGAAATCTCCACGGTTGCTAGGATGCTTTCCTGTTTGACCATCAATGATGAAATGGTACGGAATTACACTAAAAATTACGGAATTGATATATAATAGATGAAGAATTTTTATAGCAGCTAAACTTGTAGAAATTTTTCTCAATTGAATATGGTTTGCAGATACTGAATACTGAAAAATATTTGAAAAGCACACGTATATTTGAATGATTACAATTCGATTGTATGTTAAAGAGAGACCTGGAGCAATACTGCGTAATTGGTGTTGCGAATCTCGTACTGTTACAAAATTTACAGTATAAAATAAACCAAATAATTGAGATGACATACTTTAATTCAGTGTTAAACATCTTTTCTTAATATTATGGTGTACACTACTTATGCGGACAGACACAAATAATATATAGCAGGAATTGGAAGTAGAATGCTTACCACTAAAAAATGAAGTCAAGGAAAGGGGAAGGAAAACGAAGAGCGGTCAGAATAACAACAGGACCGGAAGAATGATGAAGTATGTAAAGGATAACTGAAGGATGATATACAAATGATATAGTTGATGTATGATTTTCATATGTTACAAACACATCAAATAGTAAATTGGTTTTCCCTACCATATCTTCATTCATTACAATGTCAGTTTTTTTATTTTTAATCCAGCGTTATGTTGGCTCAACATACTATTCTTTTGTACTAATTCCTTGTGATATTTGTTCAATATGACATTCATAGTTAGTTTATATTATTTCAGTGTGATATTTGCTTATTATATTAATGATCATTCGTGTAATTCCAATGTAAAATCCATTTGTATTAACACTATTTCAACTATGTATGATATCCGTTGACTAATCATTGAATGGGAGTAAAATTCATACATAAATGAATATATTTGGTTTAATAAGATGTCGTTGTGTTTTGGGAGGTGAATAAGACATGTAGCTGCTATTAGTTTTATCTTCTTTACTTTCATAAATTTCAATTCTTTCTGTTTCAAGTGTCAGTTTTCGCATATACAATACAAATATTAATACAATTCTATCATGTACATTTACAACCTCGATTAAATTCATGTTATCTCATAGATTTTATACATCTAAAATGCTAATGAATTTGTATATGCGTATATTGATTAAGTTTTTCTTAATCAAAGAAATTAGTAATTATATAAGAATTTTACTCATTTCTTTCAGATGTTATGTCAATTCTTCGTTTATCAATTACATCAACACGGAAATAATAATGACAGTAATAATCAAGATCAAAGGAATTTATTAGATACAAATCCCAATCAAACTGAAACAGTTTAAGATTATTCTTTTTCACCATATGATTATAAAATGTTATTTTCAATGTTTGTTCATTTTTGCTACAGTTTCAAGTATTTTAATCCATAGTTTCGCATTCTTCCTGTAATTTTTTAAATATATATATCTATTAATTGAGATCATCAATCTCCACAACCCTATACACTGATAAATACATATTTACTAAATAAAAGAAATTTAGCCACTTTGTTTGTTTGTTCGTCTGTTATTTCCTTATATTCACTTTTATTTGTTTGTACAGAATAGTTTGTATTTGATTATCCTACTGGTTTCGTTTTATTTGTTCTTCTCTTTACATTTGATTTCAACTTCGTATTATTTAGATAAATAACTTTGTTACTATTTTTTATTATCATAATTTTATTAATTTTAAAATGTTGATTTATCCATATATGCATTGAATATAAGATACTTGTAATTACTTTTCTTTCTGTGTATATATGTGTGCAAGCGCTTGGTGATGTTACTGATGAATATTTGTTATTTAATTATCATTTAACCGGATGATTTGTTTCTATAGTTATAGAGTGAATTAGTATTGTAAAGTTGTCATACTTGCTATGAAACCTGGTGACCGTAAATGTAATTGCGTTTAGTATCGTTTTGTGGGTTAACAAGAAGTTTCATACTAGAATGAAACAACTGTACAGTAATCCATGTTTTCCAATCAGTCAGTCATTCAGCTACAACGTAGGACCAGGCACACGTACATCAGTCCAAGTTGCCATACCGCATTATCACAACAAGATGAACACCGGATTCATAGAAGTAGTGGTGGCAATATATAAAAGAAAGACTGCATATAAGGACGTAGTGCAGGAAGAAAGAATTAGTTCGTAGAAAGAAATATATGAAGTGATTTTAAGAGAAAACAAAAAGTGTATACACCGACGCCATTGTGATTGATTCTGAGCCATGTCACCAAAAATATCCAACCATTGGTTACGATAGTCACGTGGACCCCAACCAAGTAGTCTGCATCTACCAACATAGCTCAGATTAGAAGTTAATGACTTCAAGGACTGATGCCTTATTTTGGTTTGGCTTCCCCTAACCTTATTCCAACCATCCTAACATCAGTTAATATTGTGCGTCGTGGTAATCGGTGTTCAGGTATACGCAACATGTAGCCCAACCATATCAGTCGATGTAGATTTACAACCTCATCAACTGATTTACCATCATTCCCTAATACCTTGCGTCTAACCTCACTCTTACTTACCCGGTGATCCCACATGTTTTCCAATGGTTTTCCGGATGATGGCACTTTAATTAAAACTTTATTATTTGAATTATCTTTCCTTCTAAAAATAGTAATCTGAGGATTCCGTTATTCCTGGTAAAAGAAAATATAAATTATTTATGATAGGTTGTTTATGTTTAGGTGTATGTGTGTTCGTTCCACATCACCTTTTCTTTAAATATCATACCTTTACGGCAAACTTATTAGCTTGTTTTTTAATCTATTTGACATTACCACAGTCCATTTATTACTGGCATCATGTGTAGGAAAATCTACAAAATCTGTTTTGGTTGAACTCATTGGACAAACATGTTTAATATCAATCACTTCCCAGTCACTCTCTTATTGTTCTTTTTATTATATTTGATGTAGTATCCAATTCACATGTTTAATAACCAAAATGTAAGTAATTAATGCAAAAATCCTGTTTAGTGAAATAAAAGGATTTATTGGAGCTGTTTATTTTTTAACTTGGTTGATAGAGCATTGATTTCTCTTCATGTAACGCTTCAGGATATAAATGAGTATTACAAGAAAGCCATGTATTATATATATGGTAGCTACCAGTCTATCCAATTACATATTTATCACCTGTCTTACAATAATACTCATTTAATAACAGCGAGCTATGAAATTAGCAATCGTACTTCTGTTTCATTTCAGACAGTTTATTCATATAGTAAGATAAAATAATTTAACTTCACTGATTTTTCATAAGACTTTGATTCACACATCGAATATTTTAGGTTACTATGTATAAAGTATGTTCATTTTTATACAGCTTAGAATTTGGATGTCTTTTCATTTTTCGTTCATCCCCATTGATAAAAGTGCTCTAACTAGATCGACTCAGGTATCTGTTAACAGAATATGGATTGTTTAGCAAACGGATAACTCATATTAAAAATTATGCTCACAATTTCTAGAAGTTTAGCCGATCAAAGTTATGAGTTATAGTATATAACGAAATATCTTAGAGTTCACAAATATGAACTTTGGTTGTCAAATTTCCTAATATACTCGTGAGTCATCTAAAATATCAGTTTCGCCTATAAACCAGATGAATAAGATTATTAGTTGTTGAAATGGTTCTACTAGTGTGGAACGGTAACTAATTCTCTTAACAGAAAAACTTTGCCCATCACTAACCTGTTTTATGGAATTTGCGGGCTCGTTGTTTTGTTTCTTGAATCGGACTAAATATGATGAATTACTAAAGCCTTTTAGATTTGAATATTTTATCAAGCATCGTTATTTTGTTTACGTATTCTATCCATACAATAAGCTATTAGAAAGTATAGTCATCATCATCGTCCATTTATTATGAAAGCGCGATAATCACAGTCAGCTGAGTGTTACAAAGTCTAATCTACGTTTTTAAATTTCTGATTTGTCCTGGTCTATAAGTCTTTTTATACTACGGATTAACATTAAAGACTGCTTTGAGAAATATTACTTAATGTTTGTAAACCAGTATTGTAAATATATCTGAAAGCCGTATTTTGGCTTTCTGAATACAAATTTACATTGTTAGTAAAATAGGTATAACATGTGGTCGGTAAAGTAGATTACGAGATTTTACCTCAAGTATTACACTTTCTTATTTCAGTGGCGTATTTACCATTCATAACTTGATCTTTTTCTGGCACAACCGATTAAATCAGTCCGAATTCTAGTTCTTCAATAATCAATAGAATTCATATTCAATATGTATTTATTGAAATGTGCATGTGATGCATAAAGAGTATTTAATACAGATCACTTCATTTGTGTATATGATTTATTAAATCTGTCTTGTATATTTGATTAATAAAAAGAAGTATTTTTATATTTATTTAATTAACGAAATATTGAATAAATACTTGTCACACATCTCGGATTTGGCAATAGTGCAATGTCGTACTTTGTTTGATCATATTAATGGGTTTGATCTGATGGATAGTGATAATGAGTAGTTGCAAATATTTGGCAGAAATTTTCGAATTTAGGTTCTTTATCTAATGGTACTCATATACAACTTCGAGAACCCTATCAATGTTTATGAAATTCTCACATGTATCACTTACCGTAGTCGCAATAATTTTTACAACTAAGTCATGTAAATGATGAATGATCTGTGGCATGAATTTTCTGAGTATACCAATCAACCAATTAACCAATATCGCACTCATGTTTTCAACGTTGTCCGAAGTTTATCAGTCATTTAACAATTAACTTCTTACAACCTATAATGACATACGTATTCATAATGACTTTTCATCTGAACGTAGCTTTCAATTGCAATCGACCTACATTTAGAAAGTATTTTGATATTTTTTATTTGTGTAATTGATCTTGACAAAATATGTTTGGGACCTAAATTTGTGTGTTTTATTGTTCACTCGCATTTGTTTGTTCATTTTTAAAATTCTCATCTGCATATGTAACTTTCAGCCTTTGATAGGTTTGAGTACAGTTTTGAGGTATATTGTATCCTACAGGGGAGTGTGCAGTGCAACGTAAAAGAGAGAAGAACAAGAGAATAAAAGTCAGTGAATTACTCAGTAAGCACACAAAATGCACTTAAATTCAATAAGAACGGCAATTAATGACAATAAACAATGACACAAACTTGAAATTAAGACAATCTGATAATCTATCCTAGAATTTGATAGAATAAAGTTTTAAATGCACTACACATATACTTAATATATTAAACTAGAATAATGAAAGTGAATATATCCTTCTTTTTTTGTTTATACAATCAATTATTATTTAGGCAGTATTAGATGATCATAGTGCTTGTGAGGTATGGCGTAGTCGTGATCGTTTATATTCTTCATTAGTAGCTATATTTCCAGCTGCATTAATTGGTAAACCAGTTACGGTGACACTATTAGATGAAACACGTATAACTGGACGTTTATGTTCATGTGATGGATTGATGAATTTACAATTGGATAGTGGTGTTATAATAAGAAAACCAGATTCAGACGGGCTAAACGAGGTTATTCTAGTTGAAGTTAGTTTATTCAATTCGATGTGTTTTATTTTTTATGTTTATTTTTATCCTTTTTGTTCCTTGCTTTGTCATAAAAAATAACTTATTTGTTTGTTTTTGGGAAGAAAGTACTTTCTGTAAAAAACTAGAAATAAATCTCTATCTTACACGTTTGATTAAGTGATAGTAATATATAGGTAACAACTATTTAGTACGTCCAATGATCCCTACAGAGTATTTAAAAACAAGGGGTATTTGAGCGAAGAATTATTTCCAATAACTTCATCGTACTCTACAGTCATAAATCCGTAATTATTGTATTACAGTCACAGAAATAAGCCGTACATAAATAAGTGAATTCGATACCGCTACTTTTTATTTATTCGTAATCGTTTGAATATTCCCTCTGTTGATATCAAGTACGTATTATCGATCGGCCTCTTATTGGTACATGTGCATCCAGAGCAGGTTGCCTCGATGTTCCCAGTAAGTTACTGATATTTTAGTAAAGGTCAGTAGGGGCTAGCAACAAGATCTATGACGTGCATTTCGTCCTGTTCAGGACTCGTCGGCTGAATGTAGCTGGACTCATTATCTCAGGTTTTAGGAATTTGAAGCGAAAGGTACTGGGTTGGAGTCCCAGTGTTAAACGTTGACACTAGGATGCTGCTGAATCCAGCTGATGATTCTCAAGTAAGACTAAATGTCCATCCTGGATTCCATTGCTAGCCTTTGTTCATTTCTACTCAAATAATCTTGTATGTTAAAATAGTGAACTTTGTACCAATTGTGCCTTAAATACTTTCAATTCGTCATTCGTTAATTTGAAGGGTCACTCAAGAAAGGAGTAGGAAAATTTATTGTAAGGTGTCGAATTAAAATCATAATAAAATAAATCGTGTGGTTAAAATGCACAATAAGAAAAATGTTATGTTAACTGAATTGAGATAATTGTAATAAAATCGTGTCAATTTATGTAAGTATAAATTGTGTGTTAATATTCAATTCTTTTACATAAAATTAGAGCTGATATAGTTTGCTGATGAAACTTTCACTGTCAATTATTACTACTGAGACAACTCCAAGGGATGTATTTAAATTTATTTATGGATTTCGTCATGTTAAATAGTATCAAAGTGGCATTAAATATGTATTTACTTGGTTATAGTGACATTGTTAGACAACTCTACGTAAATAACAATGTAGTTGTTGTTCATTACTTTGTAATCAATTTCCAAGTATTGAGTCACATGTTACAGACTAAATTCGCTTATCAGAGTTTTGGTGGGCAGGTATCATTTAACATTGTGCACCAGTTTGATATAAGAATTCCAACCATATCACCATTACTGCAGCATTTAATTACCAGAGAAATTTGAAACCCATTTTATTACCAGATGACGAAGTCATAGTCACACTAATATGGTATATGAATTATCCTTTCTAACTTAATTTATCGTATATTCATATCACTAAGAATATTAAATAGAATATAAAATTGAACTTAATCACACGCTGTTGAAAAGTTTTTCACTACTGGTTTATTTCGAAGTATCGGACAAAAATCTCGTTTTATTATTTTATCCTGATGTCAGAACTTAATACTTTACTGTGATATATTATATTTCGATACTAAACTGGCTGTAAATCATTTACTGAGGGATTTATGTACTAGACTTTAAGTCGTATTGTTTGCTTTATGACTAATGCCACCTATTAAACAGCTCAAACCGAAGTTGATGGAGAGGTTTTCGAACTTGTAAGCTACTGGGTGAACGCTGATTGTTCTAACCCATAAACTAGCGCTCTATACTAAACTTAATGAATGGTTAATCACAACTGATTAGAAATATTAAATTTAGCAAGTTATTTTCATTACAAACTAGCACCAGTTGTAGAATCTTTGAAAGCTGAGGACTATTGTATAGTTAAACTTACCAGTCTAAAACACGGGACTTGATTTTTATGTGAATTTGTGTGTTTACGCCCTATTGATAGGTTTCAGACTAGAATAAAGTAGTTATCCAATACTCCTTGCTTTCCTAAAATTGACATCATTTCGTGTTAAAAAGATTTTCCATCAAGATGCACAAAAATCCCTTATAAACAACTCAATCTAATAGAAATGTTAACCAGTAAATAAAGCTGAAATCCTAATCTTATAATTATTGATATCATGATTCTGAAAAGTGATGAATCATAATTTATGTATACTAACGAATTATTTCTACTGTTAATAGTGTTTCATGATTCACTGTAAATTGTTCTTTATTTTAAGTCAGTCAGCCAGTTTAATCTTATTGTTCATTAGTTTTGAATCGAATTGAAGTATTTATGGTGGTGTTTGAATGAAATAATGATACCTGTGTACTTGTTGAATGCTTGATTTCGAATTCTAAATACAGTACATTCGTTTGTGCCTATCTAGTACTTCTTGATTTGATTACGTTATTTCTGAGATTCTTAGTTCATACTATAATTCAGATACTTCTAATTATCATATTGGCGTCGCGATGGAGCTTACGATGGAACAGTTAGATATTCATTCAACTTCTGAAGCCTTTGAGGATTATTTGGAAAGGTTTGAAATCTGGAGCATGACCAAGAAAGATGTTAAAGGTGATAAAATTGTGGCACATTTCCTGACATTCATCTGAAGAGAAGCGTACAGTTTATTAAAAACTTTGGCATATCCAGAAAAACCTATCTCACTTCCTTATGCAACTCTTAAGGATCTATTAATAAATCATGTAAAGTACACTAGTTTTGAATGCCGTGAAAGGGCGAAATTCCATAAGATGGTCCGTCGAAATGATCAAAAGGTTAGGGAATTCGTCCTTGAATTGCAGAAATAAGCTTCCAAATGTAATTTCGGTGGTCAACTTCATGTGCAACTGAGAGATCGATTAATTGCAGGAATTAACATACCGGGTTTGGAAAGAGAGCTGTTAAGAATGCCGAACTGTTCCTTTCAAGATGCTAGAACTGCGTGTATTAACTACGAGGCAGTGAATGAGCTTTATATCCAGTCGATGAAGATTTCTAATACTTTGCTTAGTCGTCATGATGAAATACAATCTCAGGGTCAATCAAACTTGCGTTCATTTAACAGTGATTCCTATTCTCGTGTAAATATGAAAGGTGTTTCAACAAGGAATTACAAAGCAAATCACAAAGGTGAGATCAAGTTTGGTAAATGTTTATCATGTGGAAAGTTTCATTCTCGTAATTCATGTGCATTTCGTAATGCTAAATGTTTTAAATGTGGTAAGATAGGACACATTCAGTCAGTATGCAAAACTACTGTCCATTTTGCTTCAAGTAGTACTAAATCTTGTAATTTAGATCCCACTAATTCAGCTGTTCCTAATGATCATTTATCTTTGTCTACTATTTCGAAAGGTAATGCTCATATTCAAAAGCGGTTATATACATCACTTGGTTCATTTCATGACTTTATTGTGGACACATGCAGTATAGAGTCCATTATTTCATTCAAGAACTTGAAATCTTTAGATCCTAACGTTGTGGTACGACCCACTGAGGTATCAATATTGGGGATTACTGGACACAGACTGCCCATACGAGGATGTTGTGAATCGCTAATAAGAGATGATAATTCTTCATACATACCTTGTGAAATTTTAGTTAGCGAAACAGGACTGTCAATACTGGGTTTAAAGAATTTGAAAAGGCTTAAAGTGGAGTTGTCTTTCCTAGTTTCTAAAGAAAACTCTGATGCTTTACTTAAAGATTTGATAGCTACGTGTGCTAATTGCAGTGAAGGTATGAAAATTCAGCCCATAAAACTTCAAGTACAGGGTGATCTAGTCTTTCTTAGAAGACGAATAATTCCTTATGGTCTTCGAGAAGCAGTACATGAGACTTTAAACGATTTGTGTGCGAAAGGCATAATTGAACTGATTCAGTCTTCAGCATGGGGTACTCCTATTGTTACGCCACTGAAGTCGGACGGCAAGACCCCTAAAATATGTGGTGACCATAGATTAACATTGAACTCCCGTTTGTTGAAGCAAACGTGCACGACGGTAGAGGCTGAAGGTATTCTAAATCGACTTCATGGTTCTAAAGTGTTCTCGAAAGTTGACCTAAAAGATGCTTATCTTCAAATCGATTTAGATCAATCTTCATCTATTTTGACGACAATTACCACTCCTTTTGGTCTGTTCAAATACAATTCCCTTTCAATTTGGTCTAAGTTGTTTTCCAGCCATATTTCAGGAAGTTATGAATAAAGTAGTTAGTGATCTTGAAGGTGTTGAAGTTTATCAAAATGATCTCATTGTTCATGGTTCTGATAAGGTAGTTCATGACGAGAGACTTATTGCTTTATTACATCGTTTAATTGAGAAGAATATTACAGTGAATCCAAATAAGTGTTCATTTTGTGTATCTAGTTTTGAATGTCTTGGATACCTAGTTGATGGTAATGGTTTTAGACCAGATATGAAACGACTAGTTCCACTGACAAATGCACCGTTTCCAAAAAATCTTACGGAACTACGTTCACTAGTGGGTACTCTTCAATACTATTCCCGTTTTATTCCTAATTTTTCTTGTCGTGCAAATTGTTTATTTAATATTATGACATCCAATTCATTCAAATGGGGTGAGGAACAGGAGTCGTGCTTACGAAGTCTACTAAAGTTTCTTCAAAGTGATGCTGTTCTTCGAACTTGCTCCCCTAGTGTACATTCTGTGCTTATTACTGATGCATCACCTGTGGGTATTGGCGCAGTTTTGGAGCAGGAAGGTAGATCAGTCATTTGTGTTTCATGCAAACTTACTGTTACTGAACAAGGTTATTCACAGACTCAGCGAGAAGCATTAGCTGTGTGTTTGGGCTGTTAAGAGACTTCATAAATATTTATTCGGAAAGAAGTTCACTATTGTTACTGATCATGAAGCTTTAAAGTTTATTTATCATCCTGAAAAATCTTTAGCACGTTCCTTAGCTGCTATGGTTCAACGATGGAGTATTGCTTTGAGTGAATATGACT